TTCCCCCCCCCCCCCCCCCCCGATTTCTGTTGAAACAGCATATTCTATTTTTGACGTGGACCTACCTTTCGGAAAAAGGGAATTTTTCTCGTTCATTTAGACCAGGGGTGCACAACATACGGCCCGTCATGACTAGTGGCGTCGTAAGTGCTACTATGGCTTCTGCCCTGTTGACGACAGGCTTTGGTAAGCCAGACTGCGGCCCGCGGTGTGCGAGTCAAAGTCGCAAGCGGCCCTCACAGTCTTTTGAGTTGTGCACTCCTGATTTAGACCCTACAACAGCAAAAGGAAAATAGATGAGAGAATAGAGAGGGGGGGGAGACATCCCGTGTGTGTGGTTGGGTGGATGGATGTGTAGGTGGGTGTAGATGTGTAGGTGTGTGTGGGTGTTCGCGAATGCGCAATGACTACAAGTCTAAAAAAAAAAAAAAAAAAAAGAAAAGCCGGGAAGAATCCTCTTTGGAGCGAAGAGAAACTAGACCTAGGGACAAAACTTCTTCGGAGAGTTTGGAATCGGGACGAACGCGATTCTCGGCTCTAATGATACGAAGACTGCCTGTCCGTGTCGAAGAAAAGCCTGCTAGAACACTTCTGGCATCGGCCAGGAAGAGAAATGGGGAAGAGATCGCACGATTACACGTACGGCCTTCACGACCTGGGGGTCTTCCCGATAAAAAAAAAAGTACGAAATGATGAAGGGCGTGGTGCCTCGACTGCGAAACAGAAATAACGCACGAGGGGGAAAAAAAAGGGGGGAAGGGAAAAAAAAAGGAACGTTATTCTTCCCTCTGATTATCCTCCCCTGCCAAAAATCCATCTTTCTCCAACCTCTAATCCTCTCCTAATCCGTGCACGGAACACCACGGAAAAGGGCAACCTTTAAACGCAGAAATTTCCTTCTCCTTGACTTTGCCCTTGGCCTTTTCCCATCCCCCCTTCTTTACATGCACGACACCTCACCGTTCTCCCCCCTCCCCCCCTCAACCTCCCCCGAAGGGTGGATTCATAAAAATGGAAAACCCTTGCCGGAGGCGGCGCCAACGGAAAGAGCGGGACTTCTGTAACGTAACGTAACGGTAAACATGACTGCCCGTCAGCAAGCGACGCTTGCTGACGATTTGCATAAATTGCGTTCCGTCCGGCGAAAGCAACAGCGGGAAGCGGAAATTCCCGTTCTCAAATCCGAGTCCCAGTGATCTCTTTCCAAATTTGTATTTTTGTGGCTAGTGACGTTTCGTTGCGGACGGTTGAACGAGGAAAATCCGTTTTCAAATCATTATATTTTACTTCAGGACTGAAAGGGGGGGGGGAGGGGGAAAAAAAAGAGGGAAGGAATAAATTTCCGCAAGGAGAAAAGGGAAATCTATCTCCTCTATCCCCGCTCGTCGCCGGCGGGGACAGAGCCAGACGTTTACCATTTGGCACATCGCCACTTCTAATCGATGGATTAGATTAAAACAGACACGTGCAACATTGTTCCTTGAAATAATGTTCCTCTCGGCGAAACCCTCACGATAGAGGGTCTCGATCTGGGAGAAGGAGAAAGAGGCTTCAAGGACCAGCTTCGCATATGAAGAAAACTAAACAATACTCAACTCCAAGCACTCGTTTTTCATGAATATATTTAACGTCGCTACCGCTTTTTTTACGGTTTTAAATTGGTGCTCGACCCTCTAGATTGCAGCGTAGAGAATCGACGCGAACGTGAGCCTGAAAAAACGCATTCCTTCCGTTTCGTCGGCTCGGAAACGACTCGACCCTTGGTAGTCCGAACGATGAAGTAGAGACTGAATGGAATCGCATCACTCACACGGACGACGAGCCATCGCGGAGTCCTCGGGGCGACGTCGGAAACGAGCTGCTTCCTGTCGACGGACCGCATCCACGGGGCTTACCCCTGCTTACCCCTGCTTACCCCAAGGAATCCAGGCCCGATCTGCACGCGGACTCCGATCGAACATCCAGCAGAAGTCGGGGATGGAGTCGACGAGGACGACGTCATCCTTCGGAGCATCGCGTGTTTCCTGCGAAAGGAAGAAGTCAGGACTGATGAGCTCCACGCCGGTCGCACCGGAAGTAGGACACAACGAAGGAAGTGTCTTCTTCGAATCCGCAAAAACGAACCTCCCCCCTCGAACCTCCCTTCGAGGAACACCAAAAGGACGCGAGGGGAGAAGAATCGAGAGACATCGTCCTTCGCTCGGTCTCCCTCTGCATTTTCTTCTTTGAATTCGCCTTCGTCGAACGTCTCCCGAAAGTGGAGGAAATATAGTCGGGCGGAAAGCTCCACGGAGAGGATCGTCGTCCGATCGGAGCAGGAAGGCTGCGGGAAAAAAAAAATTCGATTCTTCGTCTCTCGCTTACACTGCTCGGCTCCGTCCGGGGACCCCTCGCGGGGTTCGAGATACTCTTAGCCCTGCCTTTAATGGTCGATATCAATATTCTCTATTCTTGCAAATATTTGAAACTTGAAAATACTTTTAAATCCCCCCCTTGCTATTAAAATATACGCAGTGCTCTTCCAAAAACAGGAGATACATTTATATACATTTCCAAAAAAAATTGCTGCAATATTTTTACAGATTCACACCTTTTTGCAGCAATCGTTCTTTGCGACATTGAAGCAGTTCCCCCCCCCCCCATCTCTGGATGGCAGTATTTACCCTAAAATAATTCAACTTCGTATTTCGACAATCTCCTTCACTCTCTAACGGGACGGAAACCGCGGTAGCAAATGCATGTGGATCGTGAAAGGTGGGGCTTGGAAATAGGGGAAATAGGGAGGTGGGGGGGGGGGGGGGGGGAAAAGAAATC